GGATTTGTATGAGGGATGCAAGAATGATTCAACATTAGGAAAACAATCAACATAATTAATCATATTAAAAACCAAAACATCCAAAACCACATGATCATTTCAATAGATACAGAAAAAGGCTTTGACAAAGTATGACACTCCTTTATGCTAAAAACCCTAGAAAGTATAGGTAAAGAGGGACCTTTTATTAATATCATTCAAGTATCTATCTAAAAACAAAAGTAAGCATCATATGCAATGGGAATGCACTACAACATTTCCCAATAAATACAAGAGTGAAGCAAGGATGCCAACTTTCCCCACTATTATTTGATATAGTTCTAGAAATGCTAGCAATAGCAATAAGATAAGAGAAAGAAATTAAATGAATAAATATAGGTACGGAGGAGATAAAACTATCCCTGTTTGCTGAAGATAGAATAGTTTGCAGGGAAAACCCCAGGGAATCAGCAATGATATTGAAATAATAGCTTCAGCAAAGTTGCAAGTTACAAATTAAGTTCTCTAAAATCAACAGCATTTCTATATAATAATAAAACACAAGAAGCAATAATAGAAAAAAATCCATTTCAAATAACTATAAAATGCATAAAATACCTGGAGATCAATTTCCCAAAGCACACAAAAGATGTATAAATTCAATCACAAAGTGCTCTTTTAAGAATTAAAGAACAACCTAAATAGCTGAGGGAATATTTAGTGCTCATGGCTAGGTCATACTATCAAAATTAATTTATACTGAATCAATCAAATTACTAACAGGATATTTTACAGAACTTGTTAAATAATAAAATTTATTTGGAAAAACAAAAGATATAGAATATCAAGGGAAATGATGAAAAACAGTAAGGACAAAGGGGAAATAGCACTTCTAGACCTCAAACTACTGTAGCAGTCATCAAAATCATCTGGTATTGGTTAAAGAATAAAGAGAACAGACAAGGGAGATCCAGAATCAATAGAACTCAACAACTCAGTATTTGATACAGTGGAAAACATAAATTACATAGCAACAAAACAAAACAAAACTCCGTATTTGATATAAATTGCTGGGAAAACTGGAAAACAATCTTATAGGAATTAGGCTTAGATCAACAACTCACACCACAATCCACAATCCATTTTAAATGGATACATTACTTTAACATAAAAGATCATACAAAAAAAATTAAAACAGAAATAGATTATGTACCTCTCAAAGTTATGGGTAAGAGGATACATGGAGTACTATGGTGATGAAGCAGAAAACATCAATAAAAATACAAAAAAGAAGTGAATGAGATTGTCAGAGTAAAGAGATAAGAGGACTAAGAACTAATTCCTTGGGGCAATACCCATATTAAAAAGTCAAGAGAATAAGAAGCAAGAAAAGGAGCTAAGAGTAGTGACTTTGATTCCCAACAATCAAGCTAAGGGTCCTTAAGGTGAGCAGAAACAAAATTGGAAGCCATGTTGCACAGAACAAATTTGATTTGGTTATATACTTTTTTTTGTCCCTGTTCTGTCTACCACACTCTGCAATAGCCTTGAATACTCAGCCCCAGGTCTGGAACTAGGGAAAATTCAATGGGCAAAAGATTTACCTTAGATGGTAAGCCCTTTTTCTTCCCCAGCACACAGGCCTAACCTCTACACCACTGATGAAATGGTACCTCAGAAATGTTTTAATTTACTTTTCTCCAATTATGTGATTTAGAACATTTTTTCACATGACTATTGATAACTTGGATTTATTCTTCCAAAAATTGCCTATTATAACCTTTAATCATTTATCAACTGGGAAATGGCTCTTATTCTCGTAAAATTTGACTCAGTTCCCTATATATTTTAGAAGAGGCTATTATCAGAGAAACTTGCTGCAAAGTCTCCCCCTCCTAATTTCCTGCTTCTTTTTTTTATGCTCTACTATAGTTTTACTTATTTTGTTAAATATTTCCCACTTACATTTTTATCTGGTTCAGTGGTCTCAATGCTGTCAGGGTTCATGTTTGATAGCTCTGTGTAAACCTACTCAGTCAGGGATCATGTCCTGTTCATCTTTGTAGCCTTCACAGGAGGTGGTACATAAGAGGTGCTTAATAAGTGTTTTTGAAATAAATTAAGTTCCAGAAAGAAAATCTGGGCATTGGAACAAGTGATAATATATTCTTTTTTCAAAAATTTTTAAAATTAATTTATTTTGATTTATCAACAATCACTTCCATATGCTTTTGAGTTTAAAATTTTTTCTCCCCCTTCCTCCCCATCACCCTCCCCACCATTGTCTCCAAGATGGTGCACAATCTGATATAGGCTATATATATACATTCTTATTAAACACATTTTCAGATTAGTAATGTTGTGAGTAAAAATTAGAACCAATAGGAGGAACCACTAGAAAGAAGAAACAAAACTCAACAGAAGAGAAAAAAATAGCAAACAGTATGCTTCGATCTGCATTCAAATTCCATAGTTCTTTCTTTGGGATGACATATTCTTTAGGTCATATGCTTCATCACACAAATTCTCTTTATGAAATTTAACTTTTTAAAACAAATCTTTAGATAGATAGCCATTCATAGAAATGAACTGAATTCCAGAGAGAGAACCTGGGAGCCAAATGTGGTAGCTGCTAAATCTTGTATGGTCCTGATTGTGGTCTCACAGTATTTGAATGGTTTCCTTCTGGATGCTTGAAGCATTTTCTTTATGACCTGGGAGCTCTGGAATTTGGCTAACTATTCCTGGGAGTTTTCATTTTGGGATTTCTTTTGGTGGTAGTTGGTGAAATCTTTCAATTCCTATTTTACCCTCTGGTTCTAGGATATTGGGGAAGTTTTCCTTTATAATTTCTTGAAATATAATGTCTAGACTCTTTTTTTGATCATGGCTTTTGGGTAGTCCAATAATTCTTAAATTATCTTTCCTTAACTTATTTTTCAAGTTAGCTGTTTTTCTGATGAGATGTTTCACCTCTTCTTCTATTTTTTCCATTCTTTTAACTTTATTTTATTGTTTCTTTATATTTCATAGAGTCATTAGTGTCCACTTGCCCAATTCTAATTTTTAAGAAATTACTTTCTTAAGTGAGCTTTTGTACCACTTTTTAGATTTGGCCAATTTTGCTTTTTAAGCATTTATCTTTATCAGTGAAATTTTATACTTCTTTTTCCATTGGGCTAATTTGGTTTTTTAAGGTGTTATTTTCTTCAAGTTTTTTTTATTCCTCTTTTACCAAGCTGTTAATTGTCTTTTCATAATTTTTTTTTGATTGCTCTCATTTCTTTTCCTGACTTTTCCTCTACCACTCTGATTTGATTTTGAAAATCATTTTGAGCTCTTCTAGGAATTCTTGCTGGGCTTGTGTCCAATTCACTTTTTTTTTTCCTTTTGAGGCTTTGCTTATAGCTGTTTTGACATCATTGTCTTCTTCTGAGTTTGTGTCTTGATCATCTCTGTCCTAACAGTAGCTTTTCATAGTCAGGTTCTTTTTGTTTACTTTTTTGCTCATTTTTCTAGCTTATTTCTTGTCTTTGAACTTTATGTTCAAGTTGGGCTCTGTTCACCTAGTGGAAATGGCAGGAGGAAGGAAAACTGTCCCAAGCTTCAGACTTTTTTAACACTGCTATTTTCAGAGTTAGTTCTTAGGTTCTGGAAGTTTTCAGTGCTTCCAAAGTGGTATGATCTGGGGAGAGATGTGTCACTGTTCTCCTGGCCTGGGTTCTGGTCTTTACCCAGAAGGATCCCTGATCCCTTGAAGCTGCAAGCATTATTGCTTTTTAGTGCCTCTGCTCCATTGTGAAGGAAAGTGTTCCTCTCCTCGCTTGAATTGTAACCTGAAAGTGGGTATAGGCAATGGAGTTGCCAGACAGAGTCTGTTGCTGGGTCTAACACTAGCAAAGGTCTAATCCCGCAATCTCTTTCTGGCCAGTTGCCAGATTCCCCTCCCTCCCTTACCATCTTGCTTGAGAGCTCCCAAAGCTCCTGCTACTTCTGTCACTACCACCAAGTCCCCCCACTAGTGCTGCATCCATGTGGGCTCTAGGCTAGCTTCCACGCCCTGTCATGATCTCTATTAAGTTGTCTTGGTCTGGAAGGATGTCTCATCCTGACCTTTTGTTGTTTCTACCACTCCAGAATTTAATTTGAGGCACTGTTTTAAAGTTGTTTGGAATATAATGTTGGGAGGGCTAGGTTGAGTACTTCCTTTACTCTGCCATCTCGGTTCTATCACCAGAAGTCCATAGCATATTCTTTAGACTCTGCATGGAAATCACACTATGGTTAGAGCAATAATCTCAAGTCAAATGATCCCAAGTATAAAAGAATATCCTCTGACATTATCTGAGATAACCTGGAGATGCTACGACATCAACATATTAGTCAGCTCTGTTGAACCACTTTTCCAAGTCCTGAAATTGTCAAATCAGCTTCCAATAATACTTCAAGTTCAAGGCCCATTACTTCCAGCATTCTTGAAGCCAGCTCATTGCCCCCTCTCCAGTTGCTGAAGTGCCACCCACCCAAGAGAAAGAACAACTAACTGATCCAGTTTCCCCTGCCCCTCGGGGCATGCTCCTAGTACCCTGCTCTCTAAGCCCAGACCAATTTGATGTTTCTCTTCCAATTTTAGTTGCATTAGTTTTGTTTCCACAAAAACTTTTTGTAATGTTATGTTATCCCAATTGCCCATTTTACCTCCTGTGAACCTCTATTTCTTGTTTGGTCATGAACTCTTCCCCTAGTCATGGAGAGTTTCTTCCCTACTTTTTTAATCTAGTTATGATGTTTCTCTATCACATGCTCTGGAGCCACCCTCCCAAATCCCACTGACTAGCCAGGCTGGGTCCCCAGAAAGCAGCTACTGCTTCTCTTTTTTAGGGGACCCTGAAGGTCCAGGGGACATATCTAATGCTTACAGACCCCTGCAATTATCAATTGAAATTAAATAAAAGAAGCGTAGGTACAAAACATCTGCCTATGCCACTCTTCCACAAGTACAGAGTCCAAGGGAAAGTGGGGTGCTAGCTTCGGCTGCACATATACTAAAATTGGAACGACACAGAGAAGTATGGCCCCTGCGCAAAGATGACACGCAAATTCGTGAAGTGTTCCAAGGGAAAGTGGGCTCAAGCTTACTACACGTGATTTGGCAAAGGGGGTAAACAGACTCCTAGAACTCCTTTTCTCCCTTTCAAGGAGCCCTCATAAAGTTATCCTTAGGTATAGTGTAGCTTTCTGCTGGGTTCACTGTAGATTCTAGAAGCTGCCTTTCCTCCGTGGGTCAAGTTTAATCTTCAGCTCCTACTGTGGACATTGCCACCAGTCTCTACAGTTCCAGGGACACTGTTAGGATACCTATAAGAAGTTCAAATTTTCCAACTTAGCAAAGTTCAGAACATCCTCCTATTGTCAAGTTGAGGTTGGGTGTGGGGAGGAGGAGAAGAAATGGGGAGGATTGAGGCTCTTCTCTACCAAGTGATTCCTTCTGAGGTCTTGGCTAGAACTGCCTGTGTGTATATTTGTGTGTGCATGAAAGGGCGAGGGTGAGGGTGAATGTGAATATACATAGAGAGTAAATACAATGTAATTTCAAGGAGGGAAGAGAAGAACACTAATACCTAAGGAAATCAGGAAAGGTATCCTGTAAGAGGTAGTACCTCAGCTGTGCTTTAAAGGAAACTAGGGATTCTAAAAGTTAGAAGTAAGTAACAGGGAGAGCATTCCAGGCACAGGGATCAATCTGCACAAAAAGCATAGACGTAGGAGATGGAATGTCATGTACAAGTAACAGCCAGTTTGGCCAGAACTTAGAATGAATGAGGGGGATTAAAATGACATTTGCTGAAAAAAAAATAGATTGGTACCAGGCTGTAGAGGGTTTTAAATGTCAGACATAGGATTTACATTTGATCCTAGATGTATTAGAGATCCACTAAAGCTTCCTGAGCAAAGGAATGACGTGGTCAGAACTATGCTTTAAGAATATCAACTTGACAGCTCTGTGGGGTATCAATAGTAGACTAGAGGAAGGAGTACAAATTAGAAGGTTATTACAATAGTAAAGGCAAGAGGCACTGAAGCCCAGAACTACAGTGATGATTGTGTTAATGGAGAGAAAAAGATGGAGAGAAACGAGATGTTATGAGATGTATGATCAATAGGATTTGCAAAGTGACTGGAGGGAGTGAAGAGTTCCTGAGTCTCTGAGACAGCTCCTGAGAACCTGAGTGAGTAGGTAGAACTCTTGACAGAGAGAGAGGCAAATTATTAGGAAAAACAGTTAGGGGAGGGGAGGGAATAGGTGCTTAGGGAGATGATGAGTTGCTTTTGGACAAACTGAGTCTGAGATGCCTATGAGGCACCAAGGCAAGGCAGGTAGTCATGAGGGATTGCAACTCCTGAGGGAAATAAAGGCTAGATATATAGATTTGGGTGCATCATTTGCATAGAAATGATGATTGAACCCATGGGAATTGAAATCAAGAGAATGTGTATAAAAAGAGAAGCGGGTCTAGGTTGGATATGTACTGTGGTGTGCCACTGTACTGAGGAGGTAGGATGTGGATGATGGTCCATAAGAGAAGACTAAGTAGTAATGGTCTGGCAGATAGGACTAGAACCAGGAGAATAAGTTATCTTGAAAACCCACCTATCTGGAAAACTATCCCAGAATGAAATGGACAGCCTGGGGAAGGACTGGGTTGTCCCTCACTTGAGATCTTCAGATGAAGACTGGATGATCATTTGTTGTGGAGATTGTACTGGGAATTTTTGTTCAGGTACAAATTGTATGCCTCTGAGATTTCTTCTAACTCAAATTCTCTGTTTTTATGAATCACTGCTACTTAGCATAGCTACAGAACCTTAAATCACTTAACTAACTTCTCCAAGTTTCAGTTTCTTTACTTGTTAAATAAAGGGACAGGATTAAATGACCACTGAGATCTCTTCCTTCCAGTTCTGACATATTATGATTCTATTAAGAACTTGTTAATCAGAAAGACAAAATTTAAAAAAAAAAATTAGCATTAGCTCCAGTAGCCAAAACAGTAAATAATGTTCAAAGGCTCTTTATAACATAACCAAATAGATTAACAATCATCTTCTTATCAGTAAAAGCTTTATAACAAATAAAATTATACTTGATTATTCTTTTATATTTTCCCTAACACTCATATAAAAATAAATTTTTTTTGTCAGACTCCCACAAACAGGTCGTTCTTGGGAAAAGTATAAATATCAAAAGAAAAATATGTATGCTCATTGTTAATTTGACTTTGCTTAGGAGGCATTCTTATTTAATTAGAAAAGATTTATATTATCAGGGTGGGGAACCTGCAGCCTAGAGGCCTCAAGTGGCCTTCTAGGTCCTTGGGTGTGGCCTTTTGACTGAGTGTAAGTTTTACAGAACATATCCTTTTATTAAGGAGATTTATTCTGTGAAGTTTGGATTTCAGCCAAAGGGCTGCACTTGAGTATCTAGAGGGCCACATGTGGCCTCAAGACTGCAGGTTCCCCACCCTTGGATGAAGATTCAATTCAAGAATATTTATTAAGTACTTTCTGTGTTCATTACCCCAGGTTTTGGAGACTTAGAGACAAAAAAATTACAATCTTCCTTTCCTTAAGACTCTTTAGACTGGTTAAAACATGCACACAGCATAGAAAAAAAAACCCAAGATAATTTGAGAACCTAACAACTTGGACAGTATCTGGAAAGGCTGTGCACAGGAGGCAGGAACTGAGCTGAGACTTGGAAGATAAGGATTCTAAGAGCAGAGATGAAAAAGATTTGCATTCCTGGAATGAAAAATCTTAAGGCTAGTACTTTCCCTCTACTGATGATCTCCAATATATTCTGTATACAGCTTGTTTGGACATAGTTGTTAGCATGCTGTATCCCATATTAGACTGCTAAGCCCTTTGAAAGCAAGGACTGTCTTTTGCCTTTCTTTGTAAACCCACTGCTTAGCACAATCCCAGTACACAGGAAGCACTTAATAAGTGCTTGCTGACTGACATGTACAATTTCTACCATTTCCCTGTGTAAAATTATTGATCAATAAATCAATAAAACCAGGAATAGCTTTTCTATAGTTTCTGGTGTCAATGGCCTGATCTTGTATTGCAATCACAAGCCATTTTATTTGATACTTCTTTGTTGACATACTGATGATTGAATTCATGTGAAAAGAAGCCAATGGAGGGTCTTCTGATTCTATTCTTGAGTCTATACTGAGACTCCAAGTATAAGTTAAACTGAAAAAATCCAATGGCACGCAATTATTGTCAGCTTTTACTTTTGTTCCATGAAGAGAAATTTGTCAGTTCTAAAAGTATTTATTTAAGTTTTTACAATGAGGGGAAGAAGGGAAAGAACAAGAATTTATTAAAAACTTAATACGTGCTTAAACTTATTTGTCAGTCCACAGCAGATAAGGGCAGAGGAGTATCAAAAGTGGTACTGCAAGAACCTAGGACTTGGGCATACCCAGGTCTTGCTATGCTCTTAAAACAATTCTTATTTCAATGGGCAGGAAACCTAGGTTTTTTGTTTTAAACACTAGAGCAGCTGAATGATGAAAAGAAGAGCTCAGATTTTATAGGAAGGGTAAGGTTCACACTCAGGTATGTCTGGTTAGTTTCTCATCACATCAAAACAATTCAGAGTGCCTTGTGGTACAATGTAGCCATTTAATAAATATTTGTTGAATCAATGCCATTCTTGCCATTAATTTGATTTGTTTTATTTGTACACTACAACAGATGGGGTTGTTGACAGGCAGATTTTACTCTATTCAAGTAATCTATAAATTGAAAATTTTTGAGAAATAATGATTTTGACTTGTAACTAATACATATGTCAAATTTTCTTTCTTAAAAAGTCTTTGTTATTTTCTTTATATAAGCTATTCAGTATGCCTAGAACACAGTCCTCCTTTACCACCACCTCCTAGAATCACTAGTTTCCTTCAAAGCTTAGTTCAAGAGATATTTCCTGAGCTCCTCATTGATGAATGTTCTTTCTCTCCTGAAATATTTTATATTTAGATGGAGTGGTTAGCCTGGAATCAGGAAGACCTGAGTTCAAATCCTGCCTCAGATACTTACTAGCTGTGTGACTCTGGGCAAATCATTTAATCTCTGTTTGCTTCACTTTCCTCTTTTGTAAAAGGGGGTGATAATAGCACATACCTCACAAGATTGTTGTGAGGATCAAGTGGGAAAATATTTGCAAAAAGCACTTAGAAGGGCTTGGCACTTGGTAGGCACTACATAAATGCTTATTTCCTTCCCTCTTTACTTATATTTTATTTCCCCTTTAATACCCTTGAGGCAAAGACAATTTCTTTTATGTCCTTGTATCTCTAGTGCCTAACAATGATGCATATAGTAGTCAGGTAATAAAAGTTTGATGAACTGAACCAAATTCTAATGTAATTACCTAGATAGAAGGCTAGATTTTTCATGAGGATAGGTAGTCCAAACTCTTTTGAGTGATTATAGACCTCCCTGATGAGGATCTGCAAAATTCTATGGCTTGATATTATCAAAACAATGTCATTTACAAAGAACAGCATCTGGCGGAACTCAGTATCTTACAGAGAGAACTTGCTATCTTCCATGACAGCAGCAAAAAATTTCAGTAAGCATGCATATATGTTCTCATTTGATTTCTCACTTGATATTAATTTTTTTCACTTGATATTAATAATCAAAAGGTAGACCAAAGTCATTTTTGTTCTAAGATGTTTCAAGGAATCATATAATTTTTGACAATCTCAGGGGATACTTTGTTGAAGAGCCTTTAAAAATGGCTCTTTGCTCTAATGAAGCCAATGATTTCAGTTAAACAATAAGCACAGTGGGAACTTAATCGCACTGAACAATTCTGTGACTACAAAAGCAGTTTTGTGACTATAAAAATGTTGTTTTTTCCAGTTGTCCAAACTATGATATTCAGTTGCATGAACAATCTGTAGGAATAATCCATTAGTATACTTGTATCAGACAGACTGTGATTCCACTCTTGGATCTTAGATATTTCTTAGGCTTCATTTTTGGACCAGAATTGAGTAAAAGAAAGACAGTGGGCAAGGTTGCTTTTGAGATACTGTAT